CCCCAAAACCCCAAAACCCCAGTATGTCGAAATGAATAAAATAAAAATAAAATAGAAATAAATTTGGATCAAATAATTAGTGAGTAAGTGATATATTCGAATCAATTTTACAATATTAAAGATGAAGAAGTCGTTAAACTATTAGCAGTTGATTCAATCAGAATCGCCACAAACTGGGGGTATCTAGATCCTCATGAAAAGCTATCAGACGATTGACATGTTAAGTAGAAAATTTATGCTAAAATTAAACATTCCTCCCACATTATATGTGACATTTGAGCCATAGCCACTTTTTCTCTGAACAGACAGGAAGACTGGAGTTGTGCAAACTGGATAAATAAAAAATGAAAAGTATATAAAAATATTGGATGATAACAGTTTTTAGAGTGAGGCACTTCGTAGAAGCATGTTTTAACTGTAATTTTGATAGAACTTCAATAGGAAAGACAGATAATCAGATGATAGTACCAATCACAGTTACCAAATATATGAATGATACCATTGAAAATCAAGTGGAGTTAGATTTTTTCACAAATTCCTCTTATGACAGATTTAATCGTACCTTTTAAAAAAGTAACACATATCTGATAACAATAAAATAGAAAACTTTTTGTTTCAAAGATACATCCCTTGTAGAGGAAAAAATCCAACAGTTATTCGATGCATATATAATAAGGATAAAGTCCAAAAATAGCTTTTCAGAATATCCTCCTAATTTAGAATGGATGGCAAATCTGAAAACCACTAGAAGTATGATTTCAGTATGATAACAGACATGAAATTGGTATCTATTATAAAAGAAGTATAGCAAAGATAGAAAGAAAAATAGATAGAATCAATGAATGATTTGGCATACAGAGTGACTTTAGAAAAATTCACTAATACTTCAACAACTCTGTAATCAAATGAAGGTGGCATCATGAATCCGAGAAATCTTTTATATTCTTTGACATCAAAAACCGCTTATGATAGCTTTGGTAATTATAACAGTATCTAACCATCAAATGAGATATTCTTTGCTCAGATGAGATTTCAAGAAGAGATAGATAAGGTATTTCAAACAAATATTCAATTTTGTACAACTGACTCTAGACTTGATGAAATGAACATTATAGAACTTAAATCTACAAACTATCAATCTATCATCGAATAAATGAACACTTTAGTCGATTTACTTAACCGCATTCTAAAAACAAATAGGGGTTTCCAAATTTAAGAATTTGTTGTTGACTTTGCTTAAGATTACAAAGATGAACTTTACTACTTCTTACAAATTAAATACATAAATTGTGTTCCATATATCAGCGCTCTAAGCCCATCAAAATAGATTAGTAGTAATTAGCAGTAAGGGTTTAAAGTTCAGCAATTTGAATTGAATAAAGTCAAAGAGAATCAATCACCTATTAAGCACAATAAAATACACTATAATAAGAATGGTAAAGACCCTTATGAGTGTTATGGAGATTATTGTGACCTTGAAAATCTAGGTCATATAGCCTTACCAAGAGTACATCAGGAAATAATATTTGAGATATTGAAAGAAAGAACTAATTAAAAGAATGTTAAAATGCAGAGTAATCATTTCTTTGAGAATCTATCGAAAGCGAATGCCAATGAGATAAATCTTTAATCTCTGCCAATTGATGATGCCTACAGCTACTACATAATACAGAAAACTATCATTAAGGACAGACAAACAATTAAAATTGGAAATGTTACCAGAAATTAGCTTACAACTTTATACTCAAGAGTTAGGGTTTGTACTAGCTGTTATTGTGTATATAAGGCTCTTGAGAAATACTATTTCAAGAATCTCTACAGATAATAGAAGCAAAGACTTAAGATTTAGAAGATGAAATAAGTTAGAAATGTTGAATTCCTTAAATTTGATTCTGATGAATCAAGTGATCTTGACACTATGAGAAGACTTAATAATAATAATACAAAAGAAAGCAAAGCCAAAGATAACGATATGAGAGATAAAATTGATCAAGCAGTCTTGAAAATGTTTCAAATAATGTCTAAGTAAAACTCAAATACTGTCTCTAATTAGATCAGCCCAAAGCATCATCGAAGGCAAAGTTCATATGATAATTCTTAAAAAATGAGTCAGAGAACTGTTTAAATATAAGCTTAAATTCAAGATACTGAAAGGTTTACAACAACGAATAGTAAGCCAAGCCCTTAAAAAAGTAAAGTTGGACTTCCACCTTTAGCAAAGCAATTAAATGCGAGAAAAGATTCGAATTTAGATGAAATCAGAGAAATGGATAATACCCACAGGATTTAACTTCAAATTTAAAGATAAAAATAGAAAATCTAGAGAAAAGAACAGCGTAATATGAGCAATCTTCTTTAAGAATTAAGGATCAGACCAAGAAGTGTTCAAGAGGGAGTTAACTATCAGCAAGATTAATTGCCATAATCAACTACTCATTCAACAACACTTTACCAAAATAAGTTCATTTCACCTCAAATATACAAGACGGCTGATTCCTCTTAAAATGATCCTTTTGATTAGTATAATACTTAGGAAATAAGAAACCAGTACATCTATCCATAGCTTGACTAAATTGGTCGTAACTCACTTGATAATATATAGTTTGAGGATACCTAATCTACTTTACAAATTTAAAAGAAACCTTAGCCATTATCAAACAGTGAACTAGGTAAAATGATTAAAACTTCATACATCTTTAACCCCAAGTAACTAGATAGACAATCATTTGAATAGTGTCTTTCCCACATATATGTTCATTAATATGATGATATGTAGATTATAAAAAAACGCAGATAAATGAGAGAATTTCAGATGTCAAATAAAAAGAGACTTTGATTGATCCTCTTTTTATTATTCCTATCATTCCATGAAAACTAATAATTAAAATGCTGGTTTTGTTATAATTAATCTTAATTTAATTACTAAGTTATCGTTTAGCTCACAAACCCTTTTTGATTTAATTTTCTTAATAAAATAACTTTAGACAATCAAAAATAATGGGGGCATATATTTCCAAAAAAGAACTAGACTACGAAACTCTCAAATAAATTTATCAAAAGTAATTTTGATTCTTTTCAATTTCATTCTACCGTGTAGATCTGATGTTACAGAATAAGAGTTTAAAAGAATTTATAATGCTTACATGGATTTACTGCAAGATGGTAGACCAGATATAGTTAGTAAAAGAAAACTGCGTCGAGCCTTATATCTCACAAGAATGGAGTACGAGGCGATATGTGATGAAAGGATTAAGCAGTTTATTGATTTATAGATAAAAAACTATGGTGAAATAGACATATTCAAGCATTCGCAGTTGGAATTCAGAGAGCATGAACAGCTAGATTAAATTAACGAAGAAGAAGAGGGTGAAACTCAAAATGATTAAAAGCAGTTAATTGGCAGCGGTTTTGAAGCCATGATCTAGAATGATGATGTATAATATGGGAGTAGAGTTGGATCAAAGTAGGGTATAGAAAAAGACTTTAACTATAATTCCTAGTATAATTAAGAAATAGAGCCAATGTAGAGAACAAGACTTGAAAGTAATAGAGGGCAATTTTCAAGCTACTCTTGCTCATATAGCAACCCAGATTATTCAAGTGGGGTCAATGATGACGTTAAATTGACTTTTAGCAATTTTTATGACCTAATGAGCAATAAAATTGTTCAATAAAAGCGATCCTCTTCCTTGAACACTGTATTTGAATCTAGAACAGAAAACGTATCTTGCATTCTTTGGCCCTCCTTTACTGGAACTAATAGAAATCAAAAGAAAATTGAACATAGTGGCCTATCTCCTCCACATCACAATAAAGAAGAATATAAGATCTAGGTTAATGGCTTAACCGTTAATACTAATGAGGAATTTAAAAACGATAATTAGCAATATCATATAAATCGATTTGAGGTTATAGATGAAAATAAATTCAGATCAAAAGAATAAGACAACATTTAAGTGATTTAGAGAACCCCAGAGCAGTCACCATTCAAAGATCGATAGAGCTACGATTAGAATCAAGTGGTTGATCATGAAACTTATTTGTTTATGAGGTAAAGCCAATAGTAATCTGAGACATCGCAGTAATTATGAAGATTAGGGCATGATTATTAGGAACTCTAGCTATTGGCTTTATTAACTTATAATGATTTAACTTAATTTCAAAACTTATTCAAATTTCTCTAAAAATTCATGTCACGGGGTTTTGGGGTTTTGGGGTTTTGGGGG